AAATGAATCCATTAAGAGCTTGTGGGGCTCCAGAGCACGACTTCCATGTGAAGGTTCAAACACAGAGCAGCCTCCCACTACAGTATAACACGTATGAGCTCATGTTTGATAGCATGGTGTAGTCCAGTGTTAAAGTCTGTCCATCAGCTGTGAGGAAACCCTGCAAGGATCTGATTGGCTGCTCACCAGTCAGACTGACAGTGTGTGCGCTCGTTTGTGTGTTGGAGCTGCTCTCAAACTGTGACTCGATCCAAATAAAAGTTGTTCTCAGGATGCTCTCGAGGATGAAAGCAGCCATTGTGTTTGTAACGTGCAACCACGAGCCTGCTGCTTTTTTAGCCCTGTTGGAGAAACACTGTAAAGCAGCCGACTGACTCCAAAACTGTAAAAATACACGGCGTGGAAGTTTGACACGGCACCTGCTGTGTGTCTTATAGTGCAGGCTGAAACTATCGCCCAGGACGAGCTGACATGTTGTTGTCTCAGACTGGACAGTCTGGGACAAACAGGCTGAATACATCTGCAGTACAATGAAACGAAAGCTCAGCATCTGTAATGAAAGTTGAATGTTTCATATTTGATATCAAGCAGCTGATGTGATTTCAACATGTTTGTCATATGACAGAGATGTTGTAGCTGTGCTGTGATTGGCTGTTTGTGACCCAAACCTTTCTGTAACATGGCTTCTGGTGATGATCTGTTTGTTGGCTCTGCTGCAGACGAGGTGGCCTTTGAGCGGCTGCTGATGGCTCAGAGTAACAACTAATTTTTATCGAATGGATACAAAGTTTCCTGCTGCTGGTGGCGAGCAGTCATTGGAATGCATCCCAGACTTGACAGAAGAGGTTAAGAATACAAAGTTACTGACACAGAAGTGAAATGTTTGTCATTTCTGCTGTTGGAAATAAAAACAGAAACCAGTCGCTTTATCTTATTAGACACAGATAACTAGAGTAATTACAGAACACAGTTTTAGATGATGATGTCATTTCTTAACTGGTGCTTTGTGAAAGTAATTGCCTCTAAAGCTAATAAGTGACTGTGCCGCCCTTAGCAGCAAAAGCTGCAGTCCAACATGATGAAGAGTGTCGCTCGTCTTTCAGCCACACCGACTGATTTTGCTGTTTCGTTTTTCTGAACGACCAAAACCAGTTTTTGCAGATTCTTTTTCTAAGAACTAAACCTACAAACAAACGTCGTCTTTTCTGCAGTGAAGATGCTATTTCCATACTTCCCATCTGCATGTAGGATACGGGATCTATTCTTACTGAAACTAATAAGAAGGTCAGCTGAGGTGCTGCACGCTCACCTTTACCTGCCAGCTTCCTGTCCACTGCTCACTGATGACGTCCATATATTTGTGTCTGTGTTTCCTTTTCCCTGCCAGTCAGCATTACTGTTTGTAACTGAGGTGTCCCTGCTTTTCTTTAGTTTCTCATATTTGAAATGAAACTGAGCATGCTATTCAACCACTGATCTTCAGCTAGCTAAGCACTCGTTAAATCCTCTAAGCACGAAGTGTTTCTCCGTGGAAAAGCAAGCTGAAGTCAGCCCAACGTTATCTCTCAGCTTTGGAAGACGTGCAGATGCTGATTGTAACGGAGTCATTATGTTAATGCTTGTCCTGACGTCCTGAACGCTGAGCGCGCATGAAGAGTCCACAACACGTGTGAACTACACTGCTCTGGTGTCAGTGAAAAAGCAGAAACAACGAGCATTATATTGGCAGTAAATGAGATCAGCACTGATCAGTAGAGCTGCCACAAACGATTATTTTGATAGTC